AATCACAAGGGGGGAGGGCAACCTCCATGTCAAATGAACAAAATTCTACACCTGAGAATTCCTAAATTTAAACAATAAAACAAGTTTATTGTTAAACATCAAGGGACATTCAGAAATGGAACTGCAGGGCCCTATAGGCATTTTTCTTCTGTCCATCATTTGCCTTAAAAATACCACTGATGTGAGGAATTGTTCTATATTCCAATATCCTTCCCGTCTGTGTTTTGGTTAAGTAATTCATGTTTCAGGTGAAATATTTTAAAGGATATTGCCAAACTCCCCTAGGGTTATTTATCCATTCTCTTAAAATTCATTCAATTTTTTAAATATCATCTTCCAAGCTGAGAAAGTCTGCCTCTCTTTCTACTAAAATATGTATCTACTCCAAGTTAAAAGAGGTGAATAAAATGGTCTCAAAAATAACCATGGATGTTTAACATGACCCAGTATTCACAATCAAATCCTGATGCATTTATTCCCACAGTGAAGGAATTGAGTCAATTAATAATCCCAGGAAATTTAGTGGTCTATTCCAGATGTGCTCCTCCAAATTCAGGGACAAAAGGAACATCATATTATTCATTCCTTAATTCCTTCCTTCCTTCCTTCCTTCCTTCCTTCCTTCCTTCCTTCCTTCCTTCCTTCCTTCTTCTCTCCCTTGCAGGCCACACATACTTCTTCAAGGATACGCACTATTGGCGCTTTAAAGGTGGTAATGTGGAGGCCGATTCAACCCATCCACGCTCCATTCCACACGACCTGATGTTTTGCTCAGATTTTACCACCATCTCCCCCAGAGGACCAAGAACTGGGCAGAAAGGGGAGGATGGTTTATGCCTCTGTGGGGCAAGTGGACAAATCAAAAACTCCTTCTTAGCTTGGATCTTTATTCTGCTTTGGATGATATGCTGATTGCTAGGTTAGCTACATGACTATGCACTTTACATTATAAAGAGGAGATGAAACAGTGGGGAAAAATACGGTATTCCCTAGCAAAAGGTGAAAAGGGATATTTTCCTCTTTATTCTTTTGGTGCTCTCAGTATCCGATACTGACTTGGAATTCATTCCCATGCTCAGTTTCTGAAAAAGAAGTGCTTAACCTTAAAACTAATTGGAAGTTCTGGACCCTAATTGTGAACGTGTGATAATATCATTTCTCAGGGGTGAAAGAAATGCATTCTGTGCATGCTCCGGGGTGCTGACCTTTCTGATCCTGTCCTATACCAGAAAGCTCAGATTTACACAAATTACGTGAGACCCTTTATGTTTTCCCTGATGGGAAGCAGATGAGTGTTTTTGTCAGAGTGCGCATAGTATGACTATGTGAGACAACCCAGGAGCAAATACAGTAAACAGAGGTTTGTATTTAAATAGTGCTTTTATCTACAAAGAATACATAGACATACTTTAGTCAGACCTCAAACAAACAGCAATCAGCAATTACAGCACCGAAGCACACATAGAGGGAGATCCGCCCCAACAGGGCCTCTTCTTGTTACAGGTATCAGCCCAAACACCTTGCTGACTCACTCCCAACATTACATCATTGTAGCAGCTGGTCAGCTCTTAAATCATTACCTTTATAGTTTAGCTCAGAATTGGCTTCAGGATGTCATCAGAGGTAGGAGACCAGAAAGGACCACCTTTTAGAAAAATAAGTCTAGTCCAGAAGCCTCCAAACTTGGCAACTTTAAGACTTGTGGACTTCAACTCCCGGAATTCCTCAGCAAGCAAAGGAATTCTGGGAGTTAAAGTCCACAAGTCTTAAACCTGCCAAGTTTGGGGATCCCTGGTCTAGCCTATGAATACATTATCAAATTTTCTCCAATAAATAAGAAGACTGTGAGAAAACCAGGGGGTGAGGAATATCTTGTGAAAGTATCTCATCCCTACAGATGTTTTCTTTGTTACATTGTGTTTTGGCAATTATGGTCTGTGCATATTTGACTTTGTGGGATAAACGCCATTTGCGACATCCGAGGATTGAAAAATCTTTCGTGCCAGAGCCGATTGTAAGAGGAGAGCCCAAGAATATTGGAGGAAGTTAATTTACCATGATTTAAAATATTCTTGTAGATGAGGGGAGAGAAGAGCAGATTAGACAGGAAGAAATCAAATGTGCATCTCATTTTAATAATAAAACCCAGAAGAAAACCATCTTGACTTGTTTTTAAGGTGTCATTTTCTAAGACAAATCTAAACTATCGAAGGTAGCAAAATCAGTGTCTTGCGTTATGGGGCACAATTTGGTTCCTTGCTTTAGGCCCTGTAGGAATAAATGTGTGTGTGTCTACAGCTTTCTGGTTACCAATGTTCCTCAAACGTGGCCATTTTAAAATATGTAGATTGCAACTCCCAAAATTCCCCAGCCAGCAGCTGGCTGGGGAATTCTGGGAGTTGCAGTCCACATATCTTAAATAAACCAAGGTTGAAAAATACTGGGTTAAACCACCTGGACCCCAGATCAGGCTTATATTCCATGGTCTTGTGATTTGACAGTTCTGCAATGGATAACCTAAGAATAATTTCCCTAAATCTTAAAGCTGGTTGTGTCCAAGGAATTCTACCTGATTCTTTCTGTCTACCTAATCAGTACAGACACAAATCAAAAGGTTGCTAAATTGAACTAATTCTAAAGCACGCCTAGTCGATCTGTTCTGCATATTTTGCCCAACTTGAAGAAGGAACGGAACAATCAAAATGTACTATCACATATTTCATAAAACACAACTCCCCCAATGGTTGCCCATCTACCTAATGAGAAAGACATTTGCTGGTCCTCATGGGATGCTAGGAAAGAGTGGGAGGGGTACACTTTGCATTTCCAAACTAATGACTTTAGATCAAGGGAGAGGGTTTCATTAAAGCCAGGAATTGTTCAAGATATGTACTTGAAGAAATATTTCCTAATTTGGTGCACAAGAATTAAAATATGGGCTTCCACACAATTCAAGAAAACCTTAAATGCAGCGGTTTGATGTAAACTGTGCAGAGACCAGGAAGATGTCAACAGAAAATTGAATCATAACCTTGTGGGCTTATGGTAAGGTCTTGTTAAATTCACTTCTAACTTCCTTCGTTTCAAAACAGCGGCTCTGAAATGTATTGGTACAGAAGATCAAAAGGTTTCTAAATACTCTTGCCACTCATCCATTATCTCTTTCCCAACCCCTCGTCCCTGCCTCTTAAGGGAAGAAAAAATGGAGGCAGGCTGCCCTTATCTATCAAGAAAGAAGCCATTAAATGCAAAAGCCATTTTGCTTTTAATCCGGATGTAGAGAGAGCATTTAGAGCAGTGCCCCCACCAACTTTTTGGACACCAGGGACCAGTACCTTGGAGATTTTTCTGAGGATTGGAGGGGGCATGGCTTTGCATGCTGCCTGCATCCCATAGATGGGGCTTTGCTTGTTTGTGCGGCCCAGTTGCTGGCATGCCATGGCCCAGTGACTATCCACAGACCAGAAGTTGGAGACCCTCTGATTTGGAGGAAAATGTCCTTGTACAGAGAATAAATCAAGGCATGGACTCTGCTTTTTAAAAAAGCAAGCCATCTCTTGATGCTACCAGAAACAATGGTGTTGCTGACTTTAGAGTCCTGGGCAGGCTAGAGAGACAAACATTTGGAAAGAGCTGGGGTTCCCTGCAGAGAAGTGGGTCTCCATGTTTGAAAACCAGGGTCTTCTGAATTCTCAAAACAAACTCCAGCTCTTGTGTAGTTAGGATTTGCCTAAGCTGGGTAGGTTGGAGGTGGCGTGCAGTCACAGAGAGACTAACAGCTAAACTGGAGAAGTCAGCTGACCTCAACATACCAAGTTCTGGACCTATGAGATAAATTTGCAAGCACGGAGGCTCTGGTGGGGATTGAGCAGACGCAGAAGACCTACCTCACGAACCCAGGTGCTCCAAAACACCCACGTGCCTTGGAAGATGAAGACCTACCCAGTTACAGGTAGTCATCGACCTACGATCACAATTTAATCTAGAATTACAGCCATAAATCATTGCAGTCATAAGTAGACAACTAGAAATAACTTTCTGGCTCTTATCATGATTATTAAGCGAACACCACAGTTGTTAAGTGGATGTCAGCCATTAAGTGAACCCCTAATGAACTTGAGTGGGTGTTTTTGCTGGAAACCGGCCCAAAATATCAAATCAGTCACATGATCATGGAATGCCATGACTGGTCATAAAGATGACTGTCCAATGTGCAGTCTTGTGACCTTGGGAGGGGGAGGGGACAATTTAAATGGCCAAGAGTGCTTTAGGGCCATAAAACACCTGTTCTGTGGCCGTCATAACTTCAAAACAATTATAAAACAACCACTCATTAAGCAAGGACTATCTGTGCCCTGAATATATCCACATGACACTCTGAATCACCACTACTATCTAGTGGTTTTGAAAAACCCCATCTTTGTGAGTAGTTTATGATTTAGTAAGTTGTATAAATCCTGGAAATCAACTTAGCAAACTCCAGTTAAATTAATGTGTTGCGCAAACCTACTGCAGTATGTGCAAGCATACTACATTAGGCAACTAATGTAGTGTAACACTGTAAATGGGGAACAAAGAGCAATTTTATAAGAAAGAAAAAAAAAAACACAGTCACTCAGAAATTACTATGGCAAAATTCTTCTCTTTGCCATCAAATCGACCAGAGGGATGGGCAGTGTATATTAATTTAGTGATTTGAAATCTAAAATCTTCTCTTGGAGCCAGGAATTTGCAGCACCCAAGAAAAAAAAGAAATTGAACGCAGCAAGGAGCACCCTCCTGCATTTCTACCCTGCTGTAAGCAGCATGTTTTGAACTCCTGCAGAAGTATTCCCCAACTTGGATTCCAAAGTGGGAGCATTCCTGGATTACTCTCTTGTGTGTTATTTATTTCCCAGTGGTATCAATTTGTTCAAACCATTTTCGTGGGCAAAAAACCCTGCCACCATACTTTTCGTTTTTTTAAATATAAATTTATTTGAATTTTAAATTAATTAATTCTACTTAGTTTCTAGCCCACTCGCCTCTCAATCCCTCCCCACCCCTCCCATTCCTTCCCTAGAGATCTGGAGGTCCTGCCTCTCCGTTTTTCGGCCCTTTTTTGACTGGCTGTATTCTTCCGTTCCCAGACGAGGTGGGAATCCCGGCTTCCAAGTTGCATCCAGACCCAGAATCCCCTTCTCCCTTAGGAAGCAGCCGAAGTTGAAGGAGCTTGGTCACTGGGAGCAGCTGCTCCTGCTGCGTTTGCATCCATCTGGGGTGTGCGCTTGCGTTTAAAGAATCCAAACTGGAGAGATGATGGGGGCGGGGGGAGTAGAGAAGAGAGAGAAAACAGGTTTAAGATAAAGGAGAAATTGCTCAACAGTACTAAAATAATACCCCAATAATATGAGGATCTTCTAATCTCTTTCCTAAAACGTAAAAGTAGCTGCAAAGAGTACCTAATGGGAAATCTGTTTGTTGCATCTGTTTTATCCAACAGATTTCCTAGATCCTAAAAAAAGCCAGGGCATACAATTTAGTGTGTTAATGCAGTGCTTTTCAATTTTGGGAACTTTAAGATGTGTGGATTTCAACTCTCAGAATTGCCCAGCCTTCCATGCATATCTAGCAGATCAGACACAACTCAAGAATCAAAGTGTGCAGGACAGATGAAGTTAATTTTCCTGGGGAATTCTGGGAGTTGAAGCCCACATATCTTAAAAGTTGACAAGGTTGAGAAACACCCTGCTAATGTATATGAATGTAAAGGTAATTCTTGATTTATAACCATAATTGAGCCTGGCAATTATGGGTGTAAGTTGTGACAATCATATAGCAGGTCACCACATGACTGGATCCAATACTACAACCCTTTTTGTGGTTAAATGAACCCATTGTTCACTATGGGCTGATTTAAAACCATTGTAAATCATGGTCACATGACTACAGCACCCTGCAAATGGCTGTAAATGTGGGCTAGTTGCCAAGCACCCAAAATGCAGCCACATAACTGTGGTAGGGGTAACATCAGAACTTCATAATTCAGGTCATAATTAGCTTTAGGAGAGTCTGTTATCATTTCAAATGGGCACTAAGTCATATGGCCTCTTTTGGTTCTTCCTGCCAGACCATATTTGAGCTAAAGGGGGCTGACATTTTCTGTCGTGGTATGTGAATTGTCAAAAAAATATCTCAGGGGATAATAATACTGTTGTATCTTACAGCATATAGAGAATACAGCCTGTGTACACATTTTATTTCTATCTGAAGTTCCTGCTAAAAGAAATCAGTTGCCCTGCTTTGCAATCGGACAAGGGGAAAGCCTCCACTGAACCCGATCTAGGCTCTGGAGTTGATTTAAAGGAAAGGTGGGAGGGAATAAGGTCCCTTAAGCCCAGATCTTAGCAAGACCCACATCAAACTGATTGACAGCACAAACAACCAGCACAAACCTTATACAAGACAGCCACTATAATGGCTAAAAGCACGATGCCTCCGATGGTGCTGCCAATGATGATGGGGACAGGATTGAATGGCGAAATTAACTCAATTTCTGTGGTGATCTGAAAAGGAAAGCGATAGGAAGCTGAAGCCTATTCCCACAACTGGTTTCAATTCTAGGAACCCATTTACCCAGAAACCTGCTTGCTAGATTCAACTCTGCCCACGAGATAGCGTAAGAGACTAGGAGAAATTACCCTTTGCTGCACACTCATTTTGTTATTCCTCTTTGGAGTAAAAATCCTTATACAATATGCTAAAAAAGGGGAAGAACAATAGGCAAAAGAATTGTTAGATGTTCTCTGAACTTGGTTGTTTTCTTGTAGATGTTTCATTACCCCATCTGGGTAATGTCATAAGGGCTAGAAGGCAGTGCGATTGTTCTAGCAATGATAATATTACCTAGTAGTTCAGTAATGGAACATCCACAAAGAAAACAGTCAAGCTCAGAGAGCTCCAAGGACCTCACAATTCAACCCTGATTTGCAAATGAAAGATATAAGAAAATGAAAGATGGATTAATCGAGTTTGCACAATACCATTCAGCACAACTCTCCATAACTCGCTATCCTGGCTTGTCCTCTGTCCCTGAATCGCTTAATGCAGGGGTGTCAAACTGGATTTCTTCGCGGGACAGATCAGCATTGTAGTTCTCCTCCGCTGGCTGGCCTTGTGGCGGAGAGACAGGATGGACGCTTCCTGTAGCACCCTGCTAGCCAAAACAGGGTGCACGCCGCCCATGCCCCATTTTCACCAGCAGAGGCACTGTGGGCCATCCTTTGTTATTCCCAGGCCGGCCCAGTGGGCCAGATTTCAGTACCCTGCAGGCTGGATCCGGCCCACAGACCTTGAGTTTGAACCCCTGGATTAATGTGTTCTTTAAGCCAGGCTTCCCCAATCTTTCTGACTTTGCATTTGGGGGGGGGGGGGGGGAGAGGAGCCCCCTGTGAGTGGTGGGCAAGTGTGTGTACACACGCAGCTCTATTTGTGTGAGTGGCGAGCATGTGTGTCCCTCACTCGTGCACATGCTCGCACAAGTGGGGATGCACGTGCACGTTTCCTACCACTTCTGTGGCCCAGTTCTGAAAGGCTCAACTCCCGGTAGTGGGCCACAGCCTGGGAGTTGGGGACCTCTGCTTTAAACTTCTCAACTCTTTCATTAGATTCGATCAATCGTGACCTTTTCAGTCTTTCCTTTCTTCTCAACGATTCATTCTTCCTTCATATGTTTTGTGCTTCGGTCTTCCTTGGTTCTCCCTCCATGATCGAATTACCTCAACGTACTTTTCTACCAGTCACTTGGCTTTGCATTCCGTTCACCTTCATTCAGCTCCCATTCATTCTTGACTCTCTTTCTTCATTCTCTGAAGTTCAGCTTATTATTGCGTTTCTCCTGGCAAGCCCAGCCCTCATTTCCAGATGGGCAGATGCATGCTTTTTTTATGAGCAGCCATTTCTGTTCCTTTCCATAAAGAACTACTCATCACGACAGACCCACTTATGATGGCAGGAAGCCAAGTCCATTAGCTTCCTGCCTGGTTCTCCTCTGTTGCTCTCCCCTCCCTTCCATTCCCCTGCGTTTCAAGTCTGTAACAACAAACCCTCTCTGTGCATCTGATGGAAAGGTTTTGCCCTGAGAAAGTTGGTTAGTCTTAAAGATGCTACCAGCTTCCATGACTCACTTGCAGCACAGATTAAGAGAACTCTCCTGAGGGCAGGACAGAAGCAATGAGTGGAAGCTTATTAAAGAGGGATCCAATCTGGAACTAAGTAGAAACGTCCTAGACAGTAAGAACAATTAATCAATGGAACAGCTTGCTTCATGGAGTTATGGGTGCACCATCGCTGGAGGTCTTCAAGAAAAGATTGGACAGATCTCAAAGGCTCCTTCTATCCCTATGATTCTATGACTCCTTCTTTGCATTTGCACTATTCCACCATTATCTCTTTAGTTAACCAATCCTGGCTGAATTACCTGGCTGAAATCCTCTCGTTCGTTCAGGAAAAATCTGGTCTCATCCACCCTTATGGATGCCTCGCTGCCAACATGGAATATTTCCGACTTCAGCTTTAGGAGTGATAAGCAAATGAAAGAGATCAATATAATTTGGTCAATGAAAGATCAATGAAAGGTCAGTAAAAGATGTCAATATAATATTGGTCTTGGAAGTGGGGCAAGGGTGCTCCTGAGCATGTGCAGAGTGACTGGCTTAGGCTTAGGAAACCTTTCCATGGAAGCCTCCCCGCCCTTCCGTTATTTCTTAATAATCAAATAACCAGGTTGGACTAGAAGACCTCTATGATCCCTTCCAGCCTATGATTTTATATTTTTATATTTCTCTCCTTCCCTTTTGCTTAGCTCACCAATCAACTGACTAAAAAAGAGAATTCCTTTTCCTTATTTTCCACATATGAATCCCAGCTCAAACATGGAAGGTGGGTGTGATGGTTGTTGTAAGCATTTCTCTTATAGGAATCAATCATGAATAGGAAATTCTTTAAAATGCTTTCTTTGCCCAAAGTATTTAATAAAAATATATCTTCTGAGCAGAGCAATGTAAGAACAATGTAATAATAATTATCAGCCACTTACTTTGGAAGATTTATCTTCTCTGTAAAAATCTCCAGAAAAATTGAATCTAATTGATTCTCCTTTAACAAGACTGTTGATAAAGCAGTAAACTTTGGGGCAAGCCACAGCCCCCAGACAGCCTCTCTGTCAAAAGAAGAAAAGAGAAGAAAATTGGTATTATAGAGTCCAGTCTGGGACAGTCATCAGAACCAAAGGTTTAGTCTTCCAGGTTTTCAAAAATGTGCTGGGGGCCTTCCTCGGAGAACTTCTTCTATCAAAATGTTTGTTTTGGACTATTCTATGCGTAGTATTTATGTGGTATCTGGTTGTATGAGGCTTTGGCTCAGGGGTGGGTTTCAGCCGGTTTGGCTGAACCGAATATTAATTTTACATCTGGTTCGGCAAACCAGCAGTTCGGATGACTGGTTGCCCCCTCTCCCCTCCCAAGAGTCTTCAAGTGGCCAGTTTCAGATCGCAGGGAAGTTCAGGGAAGTGTGGAGCCTCAGGATGGGTGAAAAACGGGCCTTCCAGAGGCTCCAGGAGGTTGTAAACAGGCCTGTTTCCGGGCTTCAGAGAGCCTCCAGAGCCTGGGGAGGGCAAAATGGGTCTCCCAGAGGCTCCTAGAGCCTCCGGAGCTTGGGGAGGGTGAAAAACAGACCTCCCAGAGGTTCCAGAAGGCCAGAAACGAGCCCATTTCCGGCCTCCAGAGAGCCTCCAGAGCCCGGGGAGGGTGAAAATGCCCCCCCCCAGGCCCATTTTTGCTCCCAGGATGGTGCAGGAGGCCAACTGGGCCACGCCCACCCAGCAACTAGGCAGAGAACTGGTTGTTAAATTATTTGAAGCCCACCCCTGCTTTGGCTATTAAGTACCTGATAAGCTGGTGGAAAATCAGCACTCCAGTTGAGTGACAAGGGACCTGTATTCCAGGTTTCAATCATTTCCCTGGCTATTTTTGTACCTGCTCAGCCAACACTTTTAGCAGCTGCGAAACTGTATATCTTTGTTCAATGCATACACACAACCAGGCATCACATAAATACTACACATAGAAAAGCCTGTAGCACACATTCTGAAAGAGAAAAGTTCCCTGAGGATGGGCTCCAGCATGAGTCTGAAAGCTCAGAAGACTAAAGCTCTGATCCTGGTGACCGATCCTGATTGGATCCTACAATATTATCCTGCAACACATATGTTTGACTTCATTCGTGAGAATTGGTACTGCCGTTTGCTATCACCATCTCAGACAAAAATACACCTCAGCTTTTCTTCTCATGAAAAGATATCGACCCAAAAGAAGGTTCATACAGGTAGTCCTTGACTTACATTTAGTGACTGTTCAAAATTAAACTGCACTGAAAAGATAACTTACAACCAATTCTCACATTTATGACAGTTACACATCCCTACGGACATATGATCAAAATTCGGCCGCCTGGCAAACCAACATGTATTTATAATGGTTGCCATCTCCATTTGCAACCTATCCAGCTGGTTTACAACAAATAAAGTCAATGAGAGAAGCTGGATTCACTTAAGGACTTTACAACTGCAGCGATTCCCTTAACAACCATGACAAAAAGGGTCACAGAATTGGACTTGACTTGCTCAAAAAACATCTTGCTTTGCAATGGAACTTCTGCTTTCAATTGTGATCGTAAGTCAAGGACTTCCTATGCCAGATTCTTACCGTGATGCGTTTTGTGACATTCTTCTTGCTGATTCCTGTTCTGAGGGTAAACAACTGTGTGCAGGAGAAGTGATTTTTCTACGGAAAAAAACAAAAGTCATTTTGCACAAGTGGAACTGGTACCAAGTGATGATATGAAAGAAACAGGGGTATCACAAAACATTAATGTGAACAAGTTAATGGCCTGGAAAATAATAATCTGAAAATGAATAGTTGTGATTAGCCCTTCTTTCTTGCATGCTGGGAAAAAGAGGTTCAAATGACTCTTACAGACTCTGCCTAAATTGAATTTACTAATAAATGTATGCTACAGTTTGTTATTTCCAAAAATCTATATATTAGCTCATTATCCCTTTGACAATAACTCTAACTTATAAGATTCATCCCAATTCTTTCTGGATACAGGCAGTCCTCAACTAAACAGTTTGTTCAGTGACCATTTGAAGTTAAAACAACACTGAAAAAAGTGACTTATGACTGTTTTTCACACTTATGACTGTTGCAGCATCCCCAGGGTCATGAGATCAAAATTCAGACGCTTGGCAATTGACTCATATTTATGACTTCTGACAAGCAAAGTCAATGGGGAAGCCAGATTCATTTAACAACCTTGCTACCAACTTAACAACTGCAATGATTTGCTTAACAATGGTGGCAAGGAAGGTTATAAAATGGAACAAAACAAACAACTTACTTAGCAATGGAGATTTTGGGCTCAGTTATGTCACAAGTCGTGAACTACCTGTTTTAGAAAAGTGACAGTAACCAATGTTTATTATTTTGACCAGGTCTGTCTTCTGTCCCTTCCACAACAACCAATCAGTTGTTCTGACCCAAATGAGCTTCCTACCCATTGAAACGCTCCTTCAAAGTATTTCTGCAAGTGTGGGCTTTCCCAAACTGGATGACATCATTCTCATTCAAGTGCTGTTTTAATCACACAAAAACAGACATGCATGCAATAACTTTGCTGCTGGTATCTACATACGTATATAAAGTAAAATACCACTCATGCATCATCACAAAATCCCCAGAACCGTAAAGCCTGCAAACTTGATATTTGGCATGTATATTCCTCTTGGCTTCTAGGTGCTCACTAAGAAAGGATTTTTCAAAATGACTATCAAAGCATTAGTATTTCCTATACTTTAACACGCTTTGATGCTAAGAATTTCTACTCCCCCTACACACCTGAAAAGAAATCTGTTCCAAATGAAAAACACAAGCAGAAGAAAGGCGTTTCAGTTTCAATTTCATAGCACCAAGCAGCTTTAGTACAGAACAGTTGAGCTAAGGCTCTTTGCTGTCTCCTTCTTGTTCACACAGCAAATACTATTTCATTTTCCAAACAGCCCTCAACTCTCTTACACTCTGACATGACGCTAGGCAGATGAATACCAATGGATGCTGGTAGGCAGAGGCACAATTTTTTCCCTTATTTTCCTCCCCAAAAACTAAGCCCGACCACATAGTTTCATAGAAAAGCACAGGTATTGAGCTAGAATATAATACAGGTAGGCCTCAACTTACCACCACAGTGGGAATTAGAATTTCTACTGCTAAGCAAGGTGTTTTTAAAAGGAATCACACCTGATTTTACCATCTTTTTTGCCACAGCCGTTAAGCGAATTGTTATGTCCCTGGAACTTGCAAGAGTTCCCACCCAGGTCCGCTCACGCTGCGGGGGCGTTTGCTGTCCCTCATTGGCTGGTTTCCCCCAGCAGCCGGCTATAAAAGCAGGCTGCGGGGTTCAACCAGTCGCTGATCGCTGCAAGCCAGTTCCAGGCTTGGCAAGCACGTTCAGTCCTTTATTACTCTAATAAAGTATTTGTTGCACCCATGCCCTGGTCAAGCCTCTCATTGCTCAACTACAACACTGGCGACGAGGATGGGATGGCTACCAGAGGCAACTCGCAACAGCTGAAGTCACTGAATTGCTGAGCCGCAGCCGCGCTGCCGGAGAGCTCGGTCAGCAAGAAAGCGAAAGTAATAGCGTCTGTAGCCGCTTGTTAGCAAGCTACAGAGGAAAGTGAAGCGCTGCGAGCCGCAGCCGCTCAATTCAAAGAGCGCGAAATTCAAACGGCTGTCGTTGAATTTCAAACCGGGATACAGCGCGGTGCTGTAATTCCGAGTCACTGACACTTACGCAGGCGCGAAATTCAAAGCGCTATCAGAGCGGTTAAGCCATCACCGCCTACACTCTCCAGGAGCGCGAAAATCAAAACGCTGCCAAACAGCCGTTGCAGCTTACCGCGTGTAAACTCAGAGAGAACGGGAGGTGCGGAGCCTCCCCAGAGCTGTAGTCACTTGCCTGCCAAGGCACAAGAGTTTTTCTTTCCTCCGTTGTTGTCCCAGAGAGATTCCATAGCAGTTAGCCACTAGATTCTCAACATGAACTCCAACCCAGCCTTCCCATCGTTCAAGCCGGATGAGGAGAAATGGGAGTCATACAAGAATCGTTTTAACCACTACATCGACGCCATTGGGCTGGCTGATGCAGGGGAGCACCGAAAAAAATCATTTTTCCTGAGCTACTGCGGAGCCATCGTCTTTGATACTGCCACAGCACTCGTGGCTCCACGTGAGTTAAAAAACGTCCCCTGGACAGAACTGTTAGAAATCCTTACTAACCACTATTCTCCTAGACCCTCACAGATTGCCAGGCGATTCACCTTCCGAATGAGGAAGCAAGCAGACAAAGAGACTATCAACCAGTACATGGCTGCCCTCAGGACTGCAGCACTCCATTGTGGTTTTGGGAGCTACCTAGATGACATGCTCCTCGATTAGCTAGTCTGCGGGGTCAAGGACCTTCACCTCCAAAGACGCCTACTCGCTAGGAAGGACCTCAACCTCGCTCAAGCCGTCGAGGAAGCCCTGGCAGCGGAGCTGGCAGCACACTTAGCCACCGAGATCCAAGGTCCTGCTTCCAAGCAAATTGCAGTTTCCGTCCACTCTGAAGAGGTGGTCATCGAAGAGGACCCCAGTGATGCGGCCGACATCCACCGCCTCGCCCACACCAGACACCCGCAGGTAGGAGCCAAGCAAGAAAGCATCAGTCCACCCAAGCACATCACCCTGTGCCTATCCTGTGGTGGATCTCACCCGAGGGCCACCTGCAAATTCAAGGGGGCCACCTGCAACAATTGCCACAAAAGGGGGCACATCGCCAGAGTCTGCCAAGCCGCTCACAACTCGGCACAAAGGGTCCCTTCCTTTTCACATTCTGGACCCCAAAGGCAAGTATTGAACTGTCGCACTTGCCACCTTGCTAAGCACGCTTGCCATGCCATTAGTAAAATCTCACTCTCCGTTTTATTAGAAGGTAAACCTTGTCGTATGGAGGTTGACACGGGGTCAGCGCTCTCAATTATCTCGTGGAGCACCCTCAAGAAACTACAGCCCAGACTATCCAGAAACCAGCTCCAGAAGTGCCAGCTTAATCTGAAGGACTACCAGGGGAAGGACATTCCTGTAATCGGCAGAGGCAAGTTTCTTGTTAATTTTAAAGCTTTCAAAGGCCACCTACCTCTAGTGGTAGTTAACGGCAACCTCCCTACACTCTTGGGACTTGATTGGTTCCCCCACCTCGGCCTAGGGTTAACAGGAGTCCATGCTGTCTCAACCTCTGACACTGACTCCTTATTCGCTGACTACTCAGACGTATTCAGCGATGAGCTAGGGTGCTATAACGGTACCCCTATCTCATTCTCAGTCGACCCCCAAGCAGTCCCAATCCGGTTGAAACCTCGTAGAGTCCCATTCGCCATTCGGCCTAAATTAGATGCGGAACTGGATAAATTATTAAAACAAGGGGTCATTGAGCCAACAGATTTCGCCAAATGGGAGACGCCCATTGTCACACCCCTCAAAAAAGACGGTAGCCTGAGAATTTGTTCAGACTACAAAACCACAATTAACCGCTTTTTACAAGTTAGCGCTTACCCAGTACCCGTCATTCAACATTTATTGCACACTTTTGAACCTGGCAACATTTTTGCTAAATTGGACATGTCACAAGCGTATCAACAGTTCCCTGTTGACAATCAAACAGCCGAACTTCAAACCATTGTCACCCACAGGGGTGCTTTCCGGTGCAAGCGTTTCCAATTTGGCGTAAGTGTTGCTCCAGGCATTTTCCAATCCCTCATGGAGCGGATATTGCAGGGCCTCCCTGGTGTAGTACCCTACTTCGACGACATTTTGGTCTCGGCCAGGGACAGACCCCAACTCTTCCAGAGAGTTCGAGCAGTGCTAGAGAGGTTCAGACAGCATGGCCTCAAGTTAAAACGGGAAAAATGTGCCATTGCCACTAGACAGGTGGACTTTCTGGGTTATAAAATTGACGCCTCAGGCATTCACCCCCTGGAGTCCAAGGTTAAGGCAATTCACGAGGCACCCACACCAACCTCCAAAGCAGAACTGCAGGCCTTTTTGGGATTATTGAATTTTTACGCATCATTCCTACCCCACAAAGCATCAGTGGCAGAACCCCTTCACAGACTTTTGGATAAAAAATCATCTTGGCACTGGGGGCACAAGGAAGATACCGCTTTTCGCTCAGTCAAGTCACTACTCACTTCAGATGCAGTCCTTATTCAGTTTGACCCTAACCTTCCATTAGTGCTGGCAGCTGACGCATCCCCTTTTGGAATTGGGGCAGTGTTAAGCCACAGGCTCCCCAATGGCTCCGAGGCCCCCATCGCCTTCTTTTCCAGGACGCTCTCTGCAACAGAGCGCAATTACAGTCAAATCGATAAGGAAGCTTTAGCAGCTGTCGCAGCAGTGAAGAAATTTCATGAATTTCTTTTTGGCCACTTTTTCGAGCTAGTCACGGATCATAAGCCTCTCCTGGGTCTCCTAGCAGGAGACAAACAGACTCCCCAAGTGCTGTCTCCCAGGATGACGAGGTGGACCCTTTTCCTAGCAGCGTACTCGTATAAACTCATACACCGTCCGGGAAAAACATTAACCCACGCAGACGCCCTCAGCCGCTGCCCCTGCCTGCTCCAGCTGAAGACCCTGCCCCGGTCCACGCTATCTTCGAGGTCACCCAGCTTGACCTTCCCATCACTGCCCTTGACATCGCCTCCAAATCCAAGGCAGACAAAACGATCGCCCAGGTACTGGACTGGGTGGGGAGGGGGTGGCCCGGAAATAACATTGATACCAAATTCACGCCTTTTAAGACCCGTCAACAGGAGTTATCGAGCTTGCAGGGCTGTTTGCTATGGGGCACCCGAGTGGTCATCCCGACCTCACTTCGCACCCGAGTCTTGGAGGCACTACACGAGGGCCACCCTGGCATCGTCAGGATGAAGGCGTTGGCACGCAGCTACGTATGGTGGCCAGGCCTCGACGATGACATCATCAGATGGGTAAGCTCTTGCCATCCCTGCCAAGAATCCCGACCATCCCCTCCAATCGCCTCCCCCACTAAGTGGGAAAGCGCCAGCGCACCTTGGTCCAGGATTCACATTGACTTGGCAGGCCCGATTCACGGCAAAATGTTCCTGGTGGTCGTGGATTCTTACTCGAAGTGGATTGATGTGGCCCAACTATCCACGACCACCACACAAGCAGTTACCAAGGTGTTGACCCGCTTGTTCGTAACACACGGGTTACCAGACTCTATTGTTTCCGACAATGGCCCCCAGTTTGCCTCAGCCGAGTTCAGTCGTTTCGCCGCTAACCTGGGCATCCGCCACATCTTCACGGCTCCCTTTCATCCTGCCAGCAACGGCTTGGCAGAGAGAGCCGTTAGGACCACTAAAGAAGCATTAGCCCGGTTCAGCAAGGAAGACTGGCACCACAGACTCTCACGTTTCTTGCTGAGCCAGCACTCAACCCCGTGCACAGCCACCAATAAATCACCGGCTGAACTCCTGATGGGTAGACGCCTGCGAACAGTGTTGGACAGGCTTCACCCTAATTATTGCCCAGACTCTCCCCTCGCTTCAACGTCGGGGGTTAGACATTTTGTCTTACAGGAACCTGTGTTCGCAAGGAACTACACCGGAGACCCCTTGTGGATTCCAGGAGAGGTCGTGGCCATCACTGGCCCCAGGTCGTACCGAGTCAGACTGGAGGATGGCCGCATCTGGAAAAGGCACCTGGACCAGCTGCGGAGGCGCCACGGTACCTATGCCAACGTTGACGCCTGGGCACAGATCGTTCCCAGGCCGCTACATCAACCACACATCAACACCAGTGCCGGTGACCCGTCACCTCCTCCAGTCGAGCCGAGGAGCCTGGACATGGACCGTGACCGTCTGATGACTGACCTGCCCGAATCTACAGATGAGGACGCATCTCCATCGACCAGCTCTACGACTCCCGAACCAACGCAGACCGATGAGCGAGTTCGTGATTCCCCACCAGTCCAACCTGCCACTACAGACTCTGAATTACCTGACAGCTCACCAGAATTGCGCCGTTCAGGGCGCCAGCACAGACCACCCGCGTATTTAAATGACTATGCGTGTTCGCATCTGGGGGGAAGGGGTGTTATGTCCCTGGAACTTGCAAGAGTTCCCACCCAGGTCCGCTCACGCCGCGGGGGCGTTTGCTGTCCCTCATTGGCTGGTTTCCCCCAGCAGCCGTCTATAAAAGCAGGCTGCGGGGTTCAACCAGTCGCTGATCGCTGCGAGCCAGTTCCAGGCTTGGCAAGCACGTTCAGTCCTTTATTACTCTAATAAAGTATTTGTTGCACCCATGCCCTGGTCAAGCCTCTCATTGCTCAACTACAACACGAATCACATGGTCCTTAAACAAATTTGGCTTCCCATATTCACTTTCCTTGCCAGAAGCCACTTGAGAACATTGCAAACAGTGATCCCATGACCCAAAACACTGCAAACAATGTTAAGTACCTATCAGTTGCCAAGAGGCTGAATTTTGATCCCATGACTGTGAGGAGGCTGCAATAGTGTGAGTGAGAACATTGTAAGTCACTTTTTTCAGAGCCATTTTAATTTTGAACAGTCATTAAACAAATGGCTGCTAGTTGAGGACTATCTGTACACTTCCAATACTTAAATCTTTACTGCAAGTTTCTTCCTCCAAACAAACATTATTCAAATCTTCTCTCTTGCAGGCACTCTAATCAATCAGGAGTCTTCTTCTTACCACATCACTGTAGGACGGTGTTATATTCCAAAAGAATCCCTGTTTTGTCTTCAAAGGAAGCTCAAAGGTTACATTGAGTGCAGTGGCATTTGAGTCCAAATTCCTCACCTGCCAGGACAAAAAAGGAAATGGAATACATTTGGAAGAAATGGAATCAGGTAGAGAAGAAGATGTTGGCAATGTGAACATGTCAGGAGATTAAAAAGTGCAGGGAGCAAACCAAACCAAAAATTGTAGAGTCAACCCATTGCTCCATTACTCCTGATAGGTTTCGATATGCTTGATATTCCTTCATATAGCTATTCAGGTTTTTCCTGAAATTCTCTGTTCACCCAAATAAAATGGACCACTCATAAAGACCCATGGAGCAGGGGTGTCAAACTCAAGGCCCGGGGGCCAGATCCAGGCCACGGGACCATCCTGGAAACAGCGAAGGACTGGCCCGTGGTGCCTCTGCCAGTGAAAATGGAGCTCAGGAGCGCTTAATGCAGCCCTCCTGAGCTCCTTTTTCACCGGCAGACCTCTGGAGGAAGCCATCACAGCCAAAAACAGAGCCTGGGAGGGGTGCCCCCCGCACGAGTGAGGTCAAGGTGGCCACACCCACCCAGCCCCCTGAAGTCAGACACAACCCTGATGCGGCCCTCAATAAAAACGAGTTTGACATCCGTGGCATAGAGAGAATTATGGTAGGTATGTATGCGAAGAGAGATGGATAACTGGAATGGTGAATGGGTTGAGTAAAGGAGTACGTGCAGATTTATTTATTCACTTTTTAAACTGCATTTTTGAACCACTCTAATCACATCGTTCTGGGTGGTAAACAATGAAGCAGAAAAATAAAATCACAAAACAATATAAAAATACAAATAAATGCAGGTAGTAGTTGAGTTACAACCATAATGGAAACTGCCTATTAATGGCATAATTCCTAATGGTTCATAAAACAATTGGTCCCATGATTGACCCGATTTTATGACCTTTTGGGGGCAGTCATTAAGTGAATTCAGTGGTTGTAAAGCAAACATCACGGTACAGGGAATGCTGGGGTTGTTAAGCAAACCTGTTGTTTGCTATGAAGCAGATTTATTGAAAACTAGAAGAAAATGCCATTGTAAAATGTGGTCATGTGACAGCAGAATGCTGCAAACCGCTATAAATACAGCTGTGTTTCCACACCCTGAAGTGAAGTCCCATGACCATCGGGTTGGGAGGTGGCCGACCATCAGAACTTCAGATCTGGATCTCAAATTCTCCCTTTTTGGGTTCAGTCATAACTTCAGTGGCCACTAAACAACTGGTCATAAGTCAAGGGTTACCTCAACCTATACAGATGAATTCCCCAAATTAAATAGAGCTAAATGCACTAAAATAAGAAGTTTAAATAGTCTTCTGGATGTGAGAACACAACTTGTTTGAAGCCTATTCCATAATATGGGGCCACCACAAAAAAGGCCTCCACTTCACCCAAGTCCCTCAAACTTCATGAGCAGGATGGACTCTCAGCAAGCCTGCTTGAGAAGACCAGAGTGGATGGAATCAATTTGGACAAGAAAGATATGGATTTAATTATTGTAAACCCACGCGCGGGGGGGGGGGGGGGAGGGGGGGGGGGAGAGAGAGGGGGGAGAGAAATCCATTACCTCATAGCTATGTGTAAGTATTTTCTTCTCTGGATCCTGAGTAGAGAAGTTGAGATATGGAGTGGATTGAAACCTAGAGGGGAAAGGAGAAGCCTCCGTTGGTATCATGAAAGAGGCAGAGTCTTACTTCTTCCCTTAACAACATCCCTGTGAAGTAGGCTGAGTTGAGAGAGCACAACTGGGCCCAAGCCACAGTAGGTTGCCTATAATATGAAGTCCCTGCTGATAATCCAGGGCTACCCTGGTTTGCGATAGTGGTGAATATCTGTAGCTCAGTTGTAGGATGAGGGTGAAGGTTCATTCTCCGTGGGACAAACACCACGTCAATTAAAAGCCAAGATCCATGAACACCGACTGGCAGTCAATTACCATGATCCCAAACCTTTAATTTCTACCCATACTGACATCAAACAGCACCAGTTTGATTGGAGCAACACAAAAATCATCAGCCATGCTACCACCCGCCATGCTTGTGAGTTCAGTGAAGCCTGGCGCTCCACAAGCAATTCCTTCAACAGACACATTGACCTACAACTAGCCTACAAACTCCTCAGGATCCAAATCAACCACACAACCAGTCTCTGAGACAGCACCAACCCTCAACCAACTCATGCAACCTCTACCCAGCAGATCACCTCCCAATGACCCTGATGTAATCTCCTTATCTCAAGACCCATCACGAGACTCACTGATGACTCACAGCCGACCTACCAACTAGACCCTCACTTCACACACACACACACACACACACACACGCCTGAAGCCCTTATAAACAGAGGAATACTGACATTGATATCCCCTAAACTCCACTGAAGATGTTAAGCTAGCCTGGTAATGAAACATTTGAAAACCAACCCAGAAGCTTGGAGAACAAACCGTCACCCTCGCACTACTCTGGTTGTTGGGTTCTTACAGAACTAAGCCAAAGTCAACCAGGGAGCTTCTATGGCTGAGAATGGACTAGAATCAGTGACGGAATTCAAATTTTTTTTTACTACCTGTGGGCATGGCTTGGCTTGGTGGGCGTGGCAGAGGAAGGATACTGCAAAATCCCCATTCCCTCCCTGCCCCACTAACCTGCTTTCCAGCTCCATTTTCCTGTGCAGGGTAACCAAAGAAGACCCAGCCAACCAGCAGGGACTCAGGTGGCGGAGAATAGATGGGGGTGGGACTATTGAGAGGTGGTATTTGCCAGTTCCCTGAACTATTCAAAATGTCCGCTCTCAGTTCTCCAGAACTGGTCAGAACCTGCTGAATGCCACCTCTGACTAGAATCCCAGTTTTCCAGCTCCTTCTTCAATATTTTCGCCAGAAACCAGGGTTATTCTTGGGAAATGGGCTCTTGGGGAAGGAAACCACACACACACAAAAACGGAGACAGAATTACTCTTTCACTATGATGTTGACGGGATGCAAAACAGGCAGCCGTCCGGTAGCCTCATTATTCTCTTTCACGTTGCTCTCATTCAAACTGGAAGACACCGAAAAGGAGAACGCAATTAGGAGAAGCCAATCAGAAACTGCAGAGGGGGGGCAGACACTCTATCAGGTTCCTTACCTGTGTGCACGGATGGTGAAGTAAACGAACTTGTCCAGCCAGGCATCACCTCTGGAGGAGCGGAAGGACACCTGGAGGAAGGCCTTCAAGAAGGAACATGGCACAGCTTATAAGAATGCCTGTTTTCCTCTTCAATCCTACTTTCTTTTTGTCAGTCCCCCCTTCAGCTAAAACAGCCTCCTTCCCTCCTAACTGCAGCATCCCAAACACAGGTAGTCCTCGTCTTATGACCACAATTTCTGTTGCTAAGTGAGACATTTGTTAAGCGAGTTTTGTCCCATTTTAGGATCTTTCTTGCCACAGTTGTTAAGTAAATCACTCCAGCTGTTAGCATGGTAATACGGTTGCTCAATGAGCCTGTTTTCTCCACTGAGTTTCTTTGTCCAAGTTTACAGGTTTTCATTAGCTTATAATATAAAATACAAAAATACAAAGGCAAATTGTTTGGGGCAAAAAAGGAGGCGAAGGGGAAGGGAGAAGTGTAGAAAAGAAGGGAGAAAAGAAAAAAAAAGGTGTTGACTTCTGACTCCCTTTGGTGCACTGGAATAAGACAGTAGCATCAAACCTCAATTTTCTACTTTTCCATAATAGTATAAACTAGCCATTTCCATAACAACAAATCTATCTAATCAGTAAAACCCAAAATCAAAGTTTCATTTTTCCCCACCTCAAGCACAAAGTCCAGAAGCGGTTTCCACGTAGAAACAAAAGTACTTATATTCCTTTATTTGATCAAAGCAATTCATTGACTTTGCTTTTCAGAAGACTACCAAGGGCGATCCCATGATCCCAGGACAATGCAGCTGTCATAAATAGGAGTCATTTGCCAAGCGTCTGGATTCTGAACATGTGATCATGGAGATGCTGCAATGTCATGCATGTAACAAATGGTCATACGTACATCACTTTTTTCAGTGCCATTATAACTTTGAACAGTCACTAAATGAACTGTTATAACTTGAGGACTACCTGTATTTTGGATGCCGATTCCCAGTGCCTCCAAAACCTCATTACCCTACGTTGTTGGTTGTGGTGGGAACTCAGAGTATAGTTTGTAGAAATGTTACTTAATTGCCTCTTTCTCTTTTGGCTATAGAATTGATTCTCTTTCTACCAACCACTGGGAGGAATGAAGAATGGAACTTGCTTATTCATTCATTCATTTATTTATTAAATGTGCACGCCACTTTGGACAGTGAGATGGACGGCATATGAATTTAATAAATAAATGAAAATTGTAATTGGTGCCCTGTCTCTCAATCCCTTTTCCGCTTTTCTTCTGTTGGTTTTTGAAGTTGCATTCCATCAGGATTACATTTATAAATGTACAGAGTAGAAATGTTTTATTTGAACAATAAGAGAATACTGAATTCTCTCTCTTCCCGGCCCAGTAATTGTGCAGAACCGGGACACACAGCTTACACCGGCATCCTGTGCAGGGTAACATTTTTTCACATTTTGCTTTCACGCGCTTTCGTTCTCATGGCTGTCCTTTTACTTCTGCCCTTTGACTTGATTTCCCATGTCTTACCTGAGTGCCTGCCTTGAGAGCGGGTGGCCTGAAACGGCAGGAGCTGTGGCGTACGGAGGCATTTCCTGGTAATCCATGCATCTGACAGGCCGGGAACAGCGGCCAGTTCGACTTGAAGCAGAGAGAGAATGTTTTTTTAAAAAATTAAAAAAAACATCAGATCATGCCCGGGGAATATAAAGGAAAGTGATCTACAAGAACCAGGCCATCTGTCTTTTGCAAGCCTGCCCAGGCACCCAAAATAGATACATACTCTGTTATTCCTTTGCCAAAGTACATTTGCAAGCCTGCCCAGGCACCCAAAATAGATACATACTCTGTTATTCCTTTGCCAAAGTACATTTAATCATGGGAATGTAAGCAAAGGCCTTTGGGAATATTCCAAGTTATGGAACTAAAACATACGAAGAGCGGTTGCTGGAATTGGGTATGTCTAGTCTAATGAGAAGAAAGACTGGGAAGGACATGACAGCAGCGTCCTAATATCTCAAGGGGTTGCCACAATGAAGAAGGAGTCAGGCTATTCTCCAAAGCCCCTGAGGGCAGGACAAGAAGCAACCTGGATGGAAACTAATCAAGGAGAGAAGCAACCTGGGATTAAGGAGGAATTTCCTGTCAGAACAATTAATTAATAGAATGGCTTGTTTCCAGAAGTTAATGCTCCAACACAGGAGGTTTTTAAGAAGAGATTGGACAACCATTTGTCTGAAATGGTATAGGATTTCCTGTCTGAGCAGGGGGTTGGACTAGAAGACCTCTAAAGTCCCTTTCAACTCTGTTATTCTCTTAACCCACCCAACTCATTAAAACCAGCTAATCCAAGCTAGTCCAATTTGTCTGCTGGTAGACAAAGTAATTTTCTTTCGGTTGGTCTTTCTTTTTTCCAATAATTAAGGGGAAATTAACATACAGCTGCAAAGATTGATTGCTTAGATTTCTGTTAGCTTCAGATTACTTTGCAAGGGAGTGGCTGCAGGCTTATGTGCAAGGAGCTTGCCTTTGTTATCATCTGGGAGGAAGTTTTTCCAGATTTCTCAGTCTAAACTCTCTGGGGTTTCCTAATACACTCCCATCTGCGTAAGTTCTAAGCTGGTTTGAGATTGCTTGACTTTTTCTAGGTTGTGGAGTACTTGGTTCTCTCTGAGCTTGGCTGTTTGTTTGCAGACAGTTCATAACCCAACTGGGCAACATCATCAGTGCTGGTGAGTGTGGGATTTGCTACCTGTTTTTATACGGCAGCTGTATAATTTCTCCTGCTAGCTAATCTTCTATGCTGAGTGTACAGTGGCTTATCTTTTTCTAGATCTTCTTTTTCTGATCTTTTTCTAGATCAGTCAACTCAGCAAGGTCACACCTGCCAGGTGACCCTGATGGTGACACCTGACTTCTGACCTACAAAAATCCAGCATCTCCACCTTAATCCCCCTATTTCTCCTCACTATAACCCCTCCGCCCCATCAAAATTCATCAAACTCACTTGAAGAACTGAAGCTCCCTGGAAGGACATAACAGAAGAGTAGTAAAAAGAAATGGCCGGGTCATATGCCAATTCTCCCAGATTTTCTAGTTTCACTGTTAAATTCAGTATGAAATTTGGGCTCAACTTCAGTCCTTTAGATCTGAAATATAATAATGGGAAATATTTCCTCAATGCCAAGGACCCCTGGTGACTTCCTGCCTCCTTGTCTCCACTTCCCTACAGCTAGACTCTACAAAATAGAAATGGTCATGAAACCTATTACATGAATTACAAGGAAATGAATGCAATACCTTCTATCCAATGCCTAATGTTAGCAGAGCCCCAAACCAATTAAAATGGGGATTTGGTGGTCCGACTTTTATTGCAAACCACGATACTGCCCATCTCCAGCACAAGAGGACTGATAGAAACAGATACAGGACACAATTCACGCGATGCATCTCGGACCCCTTATATAAAAGGGATTCCGGAAGAAACAATTTTCACAGGCTCTGGTATTTTACATATGGCTAGCTCAATACCCGTGCTTCGCTATGAAACTATGTGACCGGGCTTAGTTTTTGGGAAGGAAAATAAGGGGGCAGGGGAAATTGTGCCTCTGCCTACCAGCATCCATCGATATTTATCTGGATAGCGTCCTGTCAGTGCGTGAGAGTTGAGGGCTGTTTAGAAAATGAAACAGTATTTGCTGTGTGACAAAGAAGGAGACAGCAAAGAGCCTGGGCAGGGCTTAGCTCAACTGTTCTGTACTAAAGCTGCTTGGTGCTGTGAAATTGAAACTGCTCTCCTCTGCTTGTGTTTTGCATTTGGAACAGATTTCTTTTCAGGTGGGGAGGGGGAATAGAACTCCTTAGCATCAGAGCATGTTAATAATAATATATAAAATACTAATGCTCTGATGGTCGTTTCAAAAAATCCTTTCTCAGTGAGCACCTAAAAGCCAAGAGGAACATACGTGCCAAATTTCAAGTTTGTAGGCTTTATGGTTCTGGGGATTTTGTGATGATGCATGAGTGATATTTCACTTTTATATATATATATATATATAGATTTCATCGTAAATCTTGGATTTAACCCTCAGCTTGTGCACCGCTTCCTACCAACCAGAGGTAGCACTTCCTAGTGGATGGTTGAAGTGTACCTCCTGGCTCTCACACGATGTCACATATTTCCATCAGATGATCCAAGTTTGCAATAGCGAAGGACAGAATTAAAGACCAGGAACACCACATGTCACTCACCCTGAGAAGTTAAAAGATACCGAGAGATCAGGCACACAAATTCCATCCTGACCGCAGTCTTTCTGGAAGGGAACCTGACAAAATACAAGAGAAACAGAGGTGGGGTGAGCAACATGGGCTAATGAAGAAGCTTTCTTAAGGAGGACATAGATGAAGCAGGCAAAGGCATAAATTAACGCACAGAGGGGTAGAATCATATGTCTTACATGGGAGAATCTGTTTACGAGTTCCTCAGGCATCTATATACTAAAACTCTCACGTTTATCTGTTCGTCTGTTTGATACTCTCCAGTTGTGTTATAATGCCACAATTTTTGAACTGGGTACCTAAAACTTGCTAACTCAAAAGAACCAATAAAATATCCAGGACCCATTACTCCTGCATAATTGAAATGTCCATGATGTTCAGACCAGATTCAATTGCAAACTTATGGCTGTTGTAGCGTCCCTGTGTTTACGTGATTGTAAATATTGACACTCCCTACCAGTTTCCTACAAGAAAAGTAAATGGGGAAAACAGCAAGAAGTCAGAAGTTGCTTCCATTCCCTCTGTTTCCCCCCCCCACACACACACCTGTAATCTTCTCATTCAGTAAATATATGGTTAGTAAATATTGACTTATTATTGAAGTGTGTTTATCATTCCCATTATTTTTCCATTCACGATGTTTCTTAGATAATCATGGGGTAACCACAAGTATCGGGGTAAAAAAAAATATGGTCAGCTTAAAATTGAATGTTTGTTCTGGTCACATCACCATTTGCTCAAAGGATGACCCAATGGGTCACAGGTTTGTCTAGTTTTACTTCTTTAGGAGGATGGGCATTTCCAGTTTTCTCATTAGGAAATCTGTACGGCAGCTCTCCTCTATGTCAGGGTTTCTCACCCTTAGCAACTTTAAGATGCTGGTGGTGGAATTCTGGGAGTTGATGTCTGCCCATCTTAAAAGTTTTCAAGACTGAGAAACACTGTTTTGTGGACACAAGGAGAATCTATTTGATCACATGATCATAGCCAGTGACCAGTTTCGATTTAGCCAGGTTACAACCTTTCATACTCGTGAAATGTCTTCATAGTTAACATGAGTTAACTATGAGTTTGGAGGTAAAGTAAGTCATCTGACAGATTATCTTATTGTCTGTCCAAGGGTCTTCAAACTCGGCAAGTTTAAGACTTGTGGACTTCAACTCCCAGAATTCCTGAGCTAACATGACTGGAGGAGGAATTCTGGGAGTTGAAGTCCACAAGTCTTAAAGCTGTCAAGTTTGAAGACCCCTGTTATAGCCAACCCAGGTGGGGAGATATTTAATAAAAAGTGTTTTAGAGACTCCACATTAGTGAACTCTATAAATGAGGCTGGGGAGGTAGGTCCTACTGCACTTTCCAAGATTCTGTATTTATCCAGAAACCCCATTCAAAATTCCTTGCTGATGTATGTATTTCTTATTTCCTTAGTTTAGCCATCTCTGTGGGGCTTGGTAACAAGTTTGATTTAGTGATCATTCGAAGTTACAATGGCACTGAAAAAAAGTGATTTATGACTGTTTTTCACACTTATGACCATTGCAGCATTCCCGTGATCACATGATCAAAATTAGGATACTTGGCAACTAGCTCATATTAATGATGGTTGCAGGCTCCTGGGGTCATATGATCACCTTTGGCAGCTCCTGACGAGCAAAATCAATGGGGAAATCTGATTCACTTAACGAACGTCATACTAACAACCCCATTGATTCACTTAACAGCTGGGTCAGGAAAGATTGTAAAATGGGGCAAAACCCAATTAACAACTGTCTTGCTCAGCAACAGAAATTTTGGGGTCAACTGTGGTCATAACTTGCGGATTATCTGTACCAAAGCCTTGTATTTATAACAAACTTAGCCTTTGTGGGAGATGCAATGAACTTTCTTTTGAATAGGTTTGCTTAGAAATGTGACTGCAAATTTGTTTCAGGTGTGAAATAAGAATGGTGGATAAGACAGTGAATGGACCCTTGCATTGAGATGGCAGCCAGCCATTTTCTGTCCTCCAGGCCTGCCTCAGCTTCTGGGAAGAAGGATGGATTCAAATGAGATAGCAATAGCAATAGCACTTAAACTTATATACAGCTTCACAGTGCTTTACAGTTCTCTCTAAGTAGTTTACAGAGTCAGCAACAATCTGGGTCCTCATTTTACCGACCTCAAAAGGATGGAAAGCTGAGTCAGCCTTGAGTCAGTGAGGATCGAACTCCTTGCAGTCGGCAGAATTAGCCTGCAATGCTGCATTCTAACCATTGCTCCACCACGGCTCTTGGTGGCATATGAAATAGACTGGCATGAAGCTAGAAATACTCAGGGCTGGCTCATGACAGAGATGTTAGTTCTAGATCAGAGTTCCCCAACCTTTCTGGGTTGGCGGTCCGGAGCGGGGGGACAGTAGAAAGGGGATGATTTTGTGAGAGGGTTGCAAGCACGCATGCGCATATGTGAGCACCCGCAACAATCGTGGTGACACTTGCATAAGTGAAGTCACAAGTGCCAGCACTGAGGCTTGCACGATTGGGGCCACAAGCGCCCATGACAACACTCGCACAAGTGGGGCTGTGAGCACACATGGAGGTGCGCACATCGGCTGTTCAGTCAAGTAGCCCAATGGCGATTAGCTCATGTCCCGGTAGTAGGTCATGGCCCCCAGGTTGGTGACCCCTGTTCTAGATAAAGGAAGTGCTAACACAGAATACAGAAAAATACCTCAATGTCAGTGGAGGTTTTTGTCTCAGGGTGAAGGATGGGTCGCAGATTCCTGTTATCTGGTTGTTCCTGAACTGAGAACTTTGTCCGCAGCACAACTGGAGAGATGGAGTCATCCAGGCAGACCTGAGGCCAATTAAGAAAGAGATTCTGGAACTCAGACATTTCTACCCAGATCTGTGTGTTTCTCCATTCAGTGTTATAATATTTCTTACAGCTATACTCCAAAGGCATCCATTCCCCAATTTCTCACCAAACCATTTGAAGCAACATACCTTGACTTCTAATCACTCTGAAATGCTGAAAACACCACAAACTAATTCACACTCTCTCCAGATAATCATTTGAAAAGTGCCAAGCAATCTGCATTTAATCATGTGGTCATCTGATCACAAGCGATCTCTGGTTCTGAAGCAACAAAATCCCCTACATTCCCGTTAGCCCCAAAATGGAAATCAAATTAGATCCCAAATGGAAATCTAATAAATGTCTAGCATCCTCTCCCTATCCACAGGTTTAGTACAGTACATCATGTATTCATTTCTGTGAAAACATCTGAATTCTTGCTAGGAGGGGAAGTTTACTGCCATTCCTCTACTGTATTTAAAAGTCCCTTCAGGCTATAAAGCCGAAACAATTGCATTCTTAGCATTTCTGCAACTGTGTCTTAATAGCTGCATACAAGGCTGCAGATTTTTACAGTGGCCAGAGTAAAGAAGGAATATACAGATGGTCCTTGACTTATGACCAGTCACTTAGCGATCTGTTCAAAGATTCAGTGGACCTCTCCAGGGCTACTTATGACCCAGATTCAAAGTTATGACAGCCAGCTCTTCCCCATAGTCATGTGATTGCATTTTCAGTGCTCAGCAATTGGCTCCCATTTATGTCCACTTGCAATGTCCAGTAGTACATGACCACATTTTACTACAGATTTTACCAGAAACCGGTGTTTACTTCTGATTTCCAGAAAAGACCATCCATTGCAGAGAATAGACCTGCTTAAAAGCTGCCACAAAAAAGTCATAAAATTGATGCGGTCACATGATGACCCACTTAATGACTGGCATAACTTAAACCGCAATTCCAGGATCAATAACAGTTGTAAATCGAGGGCTACTTGTATATTCTTTGAAATGCCAATATAGGTAGTCCTCGGGGTATGACCACAATTGGGATTAAAATGTATATTGTTAAGTGAAACATTTATTAAGTGAGTTTTGTTCCATTTTAAGACTTTTCTTGACACATTTGTTAAGTGAATTGCTGCAGTTGGTAAATTAGTAATACTGTTGCTAAGTGAATCTGGGTTCCCCACTGACTTTGCTATACTCCTTGCAGACAGCTGGTCATTTGCACTTTTTTAAAGCAAGCCATTGAGGCCACTTGGAGGTTTATCTCTGTCCTCAGGGTCACCTGAGAAGTTTTTTTCTATCTCCTTTTTTCTTGTAATTTGCCTTTTACTCTATGAATTTTTTTATTTTTTTAAAAAAGGAAAGATTAATAGTATCGATCAATCATTAATAGTGTGGGGAGGGGCTCAGGACTAACATCACAAGTTCTGTGATTTGCCAGAAAGTTAAGATTAGTGAAATGCAATTTGCGATATCCTTGAGGATGCCTTCTTAATGGACCCAACTACAATTCTTAAAATTCTTTCTGGGCAGTTTGGATAAGGATATAATTGTGTCTACCTGAGACCACAGAGTCTTGTTGATGCAGATGGGCATAGCTCCAAGGCGGAGAACATCTGAAAAACTGGGTGTCTCATTCTCTAGCATCAGGCGTGGCAAGGTCTGTTTAACATCGACTTGGAGGCTGAAGTTGATTATGGCTCGCAAAGAACCTTGTTAAAAAAAGAGCAAAGGGGAAAACAGAAGGAAAAAAAAACTGAATCAAATGAGCATTGACTGAAAGAATAAGTTAACGAAGGAGTTAGCATCTAGAGAAAAAATTTAAAATAACATGGGAATATATTGCTATTTATAATTGTCTTACAGCAGCGTTTTTCAAACTTGGCACTTTCAGTTCCCAGAATTCCCCAGCCACCATATCTTAAAGTTGACAAATTTGAAAAACACTGCTTTTATATAGCAGTGTTTGGTACTCGACTACTTTGAAACTCATCAAAGATGGTACTCAACACATTTTGACGTGAAAATTTTGTCCTGGTGCTCATTGTTTGTTTGATACCCAACACACAAGCTAGAACTTGTCAGGGTCAACTTGTTGTTTTTTTGTGACTCACTACATTGTTTTTTTAAGGAAAATTTAGTATTCATCATTTTGGCTACACATTGCGCCTCTCGGAATCAATTAACAATAAGTACCGAGGTACCACTATATATTCTGGCAAGACATCAAGGACGCTTACAATTTAAAAAACCCAAAATATTAAAAGTTTAAAAATTCAGATTGAGTTAACAATAAAATAATAAGATAACCTTTATTCTCATTTTTTACTTTGAGCACACTGCTCCACATAAAAAATGAACCCTGATCTCAAAAGAAAGTATATATCTACTCATACACATACATAACACACATACTCACATTATACACACACACACACAAAACCATACATATGCATATAAATATTAATCACTGTTCATTTTGAATACATATAATATATAATATTGAAATTGTATCTTTTCAGATTTTCTAGAACTCAATCGAACAAGGATTAAACATAGTTCTTATGGAAAGATATTGCATAGGGAAGACAGCTTTGAAATACAACACAGGACTTGCTCCCACATACCAGGAAGATGGGCTTTGGACCAGGGGAAATTTTCAAATGGGCCTCTTCCATTAACTTTAATGGCTAGATGAGTACAAAATAAGATAAGCAATCCCTTAAATAGCCAGGCCTTAGCCATGAAGGACTTTGAGTACTAATGCCAATACATTATATTGTATTGTATTGTATTGTATTGTATTGTATTGTATTGTATTGTATTGTATTGTATTGTATTGTATTGTATTGTAATGTTATGTTATGTTATGTTATGTTATGTTATGTTATGTTATGTTATGTTATGTTATGTTATGTTATGTTATGTTATGTTATATTATGTTATGTTATGGAAGCTCTTCAGACACAAAGTCAGCTAAGTGGCCTTGGGCCAATCACTTTCTCTCAGCCTAACCCAACTCACGAGGTTGTTGTAAGGAAATTAGTAGTAAGAACTGATGACTATGGCTCACAGAAGGAGTATTCTGTATTTCCCTGAAAATAAGACTGAGTCATATATTAATTTTTGCTCCAAAAGATGCATTAGGGCTTATTTTTTGGAGAAATATGGTACTAAAATGTGTCCGTCTGGCAGATGGGGCTTATTTGGGGGTATATTACAAGCATCCTGAAAAATCATGCTAAGGCTTATTTTCGGGAAAACACGATAGGTGTGTTTGCCACCTTGAGATATTTATACAAATAACAAAGGTGGGAAACAGATAAATCAATTGATGAGAAACAGAAGTTGGCAGATGAAAAGAGTGGTTGCAGAATAAATTATCAATACTTAAGATATGAGGGAAAGAGGAGAATCCTAAAACCTACAAAATTAAGATTATTCAACAAAAGAACAGTCATGCTGAGATGTTACCAGAGCTCCATTTCGTGCTGAGAAGAGTTAAGGTGAAGCAAAGACTGACTTGCCCACGAGAATCAATTTTTGAAATCTTTCTGCTTCCACACTCTGGATCATCCAGAGGGATCAAATCAGGGGAGAATCTCAATGAAGTGAGGACAGTGAAAACAGGCCGGGATCTGGAAAGCAGAAGAAAGGTGTTGTGACATTTATTTAATTAATTAATTAATTAATTTGTTGATTTATATTGCCACCTATTTGCCCATGATGACTTGAGGCGGCTTACACAATGTAAAACCATATTTAAAACAAAACATAAAAATAAAAAAAGAATAAAAACTAACAAAAAGAATAAAATAAATTAATATAGTACAATAGAACAAAATCTGGAAAAAAAAAATCACCCCCCAACTCCCACCTCCTGATGACAGCAGATCACACTAGCCACCTGATGGGCTCCATCCCTCTCTGGGCTCCCCAGGCCCACTGGCAAAACCAGGTCTTCAGTGCCTTCCGGAAGAGTGCTAGAGTAGGGGCCATTCTAATCCCTGGGGGAATGATGTTCCAGAGAGAGGGAGCCACCATGGAGAAGGCCTTTCTTCTGGGTCCTTCCAGGTGTATCTCCCTCAGGGATGAGAGCCGCAACATTCCCTGCCTCCCCGCTCTGATGGGTTGGGTAGATGTGACCGGCAAGAGACGTTCCCTCAGATAATCTGGTCCTAAGCCATGAAGGACTTTAAAGGTGACAACCAGCACCTTGAATTGCACCCGGAAGCAAATTGGCAACCAATGCAGCTCCTGCAGGAGGTGACATATGTGCACACCAGGGTCTGCACATAACCATGCAGGCCGTTGCATTTTGCACCAACTGGAACTTCCGGATGTTCTTCAAGGGCAGCCCCATGTAGAGCGCGTTACAATAATCCAGACGGGAAGTGACTAGGGCATGAGTGACTATGAGTAGGGACTGTTGGTTCAGGAAAGGGCCTAACCAACTGCCTTCCAAAATACAGAGATCTCTGATAAGGCCTAGTTTTAACATGGGAGAAGTGCCATTTCACAATTCCCATGTATCTCTATGCAATATGCAGCACAATGTCTCTTTTACCATCAATGAGTGAAGTCTCTCTTGAGTCAAGTTTAGCTTCTGGTGATTTTGTGAACTTATTCATGTTGTAATTTTCTTAGCAGCAGGAAGTGATCTGCCATTGCCTTCTCCCACATTGTCTACCCTGTAGCCTTGGTCTCTATCCTAGTGGTTTCCCATACAATTAATAACCAGCCCTGCTTAGCTTCCTAAACCAGACAAGATTGGCTAGAAGCTGTCAGCTGCTGTGATTCCATATCCAACAACTGGAGATAACAACTGTCTCAGCTCACACCGTACGTTCCAAGTCAATGTGAAACTACCACTGTGCCACAGGCCAAGCCACACTTCCAAAAGTATTTTTTAAATTATTTTTATTGATTTTTATCCCACTCTCAGAGCATAAGATATACACATACAAGCACACAAACAGAGACACACACACACATACAGATAGATGAAAGAAAGGCAGATAGCTAGTTAGCTAGATAGGAGAGAGGGAGAGAGAAGCTGTCTTAAGCTAGTGGATATTTTATCCTTGTGTGTCCAATCACACAATAAAGAATATTCTATTCTTGTCACCCGTCCCACTGCATTAGATAACAAAAGAAACTCCTGGGACATTTTTTCTCCAAAACTATAATTCAATAAAAAAGCAATATTTTCCTTCCCCCACCTCCCATATCCCATTGTCCACAGTCCAGTTGCACTTGCGTTATGCACTTGTGAGCAAGGCTGCATACCAAGACAACTCTATTCTATTCTATTCTATTCTATTCTATTCTATTCTATTCTATTCTATTCTAATTCTAATTCTAATTCTAATTCTAATTCTATTCTAGTCTATTCTATTCTACTCTACTCTTACTCCTATTCCTACTCTTATTCTACTGTACTCTACCCTATCAGTACACTTTGCACACACATTCTATACCCTGAGGCTTAATGCATTTGTTAATTTTCACAAGAGGCCACATGAAACACTAGGATTGTCGTGAAGGGCTGAACCAATAGGGCTGTGAAAGTGCTTAGGCATGCATACATGCACATAGATAAAATGTGGGCAGGGTGGAATAGCAGTTGCCTTCAAAATAAAACCAATTTTCACAAGTCTGACTGGGACAGCCAAAGGGCTGGAGGTGGCCTGGGAGCCATAAAATGCCCAGATCTGGTCCATGCCCATTTCCACCCCAACCTTCCCTACCGAAGCACCACTGCACTTCCAAGAGCTCCAATGGCTAAGTCGTTCAGCTCATCCCTGCTCAGATCCAACCTTCCCTGGATGGACTGTCCAAAAAACTGGAGCCCGGGAGAAACAGAGGTAGCTGAAATCCGCTGTGGGGAAGAAGGAAGTAAAAAAGAGATCATTAAGACTGGAGCACATCAACACAGGTAGAGAAGCTTCAGTTGGGTATTCTTATCTAACTTATTTTTGACATTTGGACTTACCTGGCTGTGCACTTCCTTCAGTCGGTCTGTTTCACCCAGGAAGATGTAAATGGCCCCCCGATTTTCATCCTCCATTGGGGCTCCTACAGCCACATCTGTAAGGCCATCGCCACTGATATCCCCTAATGTGGACAGAGCTGCCCCAAAACGGCCTAGTCCATTACCTGGGATTCCATACAACATTTGAAGGTGAACAAGCTCACCCTGGAATGAAGCATGCGAGGTACATTAGTTAGTGTAGTTTTACTAGCCTCCAGAAGCTGTGGATGCTCCAACATTGGAAGTTTTTAAGAAGAGATTGGATAATCCTTTGTCTGAAATGGTATATAGGGTTCCCTGTCTGAGCAAGGGGTTGGACTAGAAGACCTCCAAGGTCCCTTTCAACTCTTGTTATTCTGTTATTCTGTTTCAGAGCTACCTGTGGACATACTGAAGAAGATAGCAAGGCTGTTAGTGGCTATTAGCCATACAAACAATGGTTCTTTTCTTTCTTTCTTTCTTTCCTTCTTTTCTTGACTAAGCATCTTACATTAAAAGAATATTTTTATGAACAGGGGGGTGGAGTAGAAGATCTCCAAAGTCCCTTTCAACTCTGTTATTCTATTCTTTTAAATTAATATAATAATCTAAATACTATATAAGAAATATAATAATTAAAACATGGAAGGAATTTTAAACATTATGACTTTATATAACATTTGGGGCCCAGAAATTAGTAGCCTGATTAGCTGTATCGTTGGTCAGGAACAAATTATTTTATTCTGTTCTGTTCTGTACTATTCTATTTTATTCTCTCCCTCTCTCTCTCTCCCTCCCTCTCTCTCTGTACACACACACACA